ACTAGTGAAGGTCCATGATGATTTTAGAAATAATCTCATATTACTGGGATTTTTTGGGGGGGGGGCTTACTTATTTATTTTTAGAGGAGCTACTGGGGATTGAACCCAGGACCTTCTGTATACTAAGCATGTGCTCTACCACTTGAGCTATATCCTCCCCACTCATCTTTCTGTTTTGACTGAAAGAGACTAAACCATAGTATCATATAGTTTTTCTAAGGAAGGAATCAGATGACAAAAAAATTACTGGGGGTAAAAACATCAAATCCATTTCTTGCCAACTTGGACAATTCTGGAGATAATAATTCCCTTAATGTTTATTATGTCCAACATAGAAGCAAAAAAAGAGGAAATGTTTCAAGATGAAATCAGTGGTTTGCCAAAACCAAAACCAAAACATAAGAACACGTGTGTGTGCTTTCACCTGTTTGGGCACATGCACGCACACACACATCCTACAGTCACACCAGTAGGGCATGGGTCAAATAGAAAACCAAGGCTCTGACCCTAAATGACTATGTTTTCACTTCAAAGCACTACAACCCACTTAGTGGACACACCAGCGTCAAAAACCCACTCAGGGCAGAAGAGGGCCTGGAGGACAGGGATCATGCGCTCATCTAACTCCAACTGTTTCCTCGTCCTGTGAAATCTACACCTCTCCCTCCCTTCCTGCTGGCGGTGCTGGAAGCCAGATGAACTTTACAGCTGGAAAAGCAGGAGGGAGAAACCCGTCTCCTGTTCCAAAGGCAGGGAGGAAGAACATTAGGCGCCCACCAGCTCAGCTTAGCGCCAAGTTCTCCTCCTCCAGCCTGGGTATGGGAAGGAGGAGGAAGGAAAAAGCGAGAAGAGTGCACGCTGACAACTTTCAGCTACAAGTGAAACGCCACAGGCTATGACTGACGCGTTTGATCAGTGGAGGGAGCCGAGCTCTGAACTGCTGGGGAAAGTTGCTGCTGGTGGTCGATTTTAAATTGCATGTGGCATCTCTCACTTTACAAGAAGACTGTGACGTTATGGTGCTCCCCGCGTTGGCAAAGTATCCTCCCCACCCCTCCCCCTATCCATTCCAGCCCAGCAATGAGCCACGGGTTCATTTTACCAGGGTTTAAATCTCAATGTTTTCTTGGGAGTCTTCTCATTTCCCATCAAATCAGCGA